AAGGATGACTTTTTGTCCCATTTAAGAAAACTTAAATTGAAGGCCTGTGATATTGGATTTACGGGTAACAATACCAATATTTATTTCAATGATCACCTCACAGGTAGCAATAAGGAAATATTGAAAAAAACTAAAACTTTGGCCAAAGAAAAGAATTATAAGTACGTATGGGTGAAGAACTGCGCCATTATGGCTAGACAGTCGGCTACTAGTCCAATTATACATGTTTCTTGTGTCAGAGATTTAAACAAGATAAAATAAGAATTACCTCGCTGTTTGTGTTGTTTATTAATTTGTTCACTAAATTATTATTTATCAAATTATTTTTAATCTGTATTTTGTTTACTATCGCGGATGATATTGCTCTTCTATATTGTACTTTGACTGTATTCATATTGACTTATTTTTCGGGAACACTGAATCTTATTGTATGTTTGTCGATTAGCGGGGGTATCTGGTCTCTCCAGTTGCGCTTAGGTTTTCTGTTTTATATCAGCGTTAATTCAATGTTGTTAATTTTAATTTCCTCTATTTTAAATGGCTTATAACAATAATCTCATGATCTATTATCAGAACGTACGCGGTCTTCGTACCAAGACGAACACTTTTATTCGAAACTTAATGACTAACAATTATGACATAATATGCTTAACAGAAACTTGGCTCTTGCCTGGAATTTTTGATGCTGAGCTTTTTGATGTTAGGTATAGTGTATATAGGTGTGATCGTGATTATGCATCTCGAGGGGATCGTGCTGGGGGTGGGGTACTGGTTGCGGTGCACCAACGGATTTCTGTTACTGGATTTTCCACTATTTCAGTGACAAACTGGGTGGCGGACGCTTTGTATGTTTCGATTTTTATTAACAGGGATGCGTTACTTCATGTTTATTGCGGTTACTTTCCCCATTGCCATTTACAGCTTGAGGCAATGGATACTTTTTTTGAAGCAGTCTCTGATCGAATGGTGGCACGGTCATGTGATAGGTTCTTGGTTGTAGGTGATTTTAATGTGTCACATGCTCAATGGGCACTATCAGCCAGTGATGGGTGTTTAGGACTCATTGATAGCAACTGTAATGACAAACTTATACAATCGGTCTGCAATTTCTTGAACTTCACTGACTTAAAGCAGTACAATAACATTTTTAATACCAATAATCGATTACTAGATTTAGTTTTTTGTAGTTCAGTCTGTAAAGTGACTCGATGTTTGGAGCCACTTGTGCCTGAGGATGGTCATCATCCTGCATTGCACTGTGACTTCCGGATAACAAATTACCAAAACTTAAACCCCGCGCCTCGAATCGTCAAATTATTTGATAAGGCAAACTATAGTTTAGTAAATGAAGCCTTAATCGCAACTGACTGGTCTAATCTTTATAACTTAGAAAACATTGAGTTGGCCATAGTTGAATTTTATGATATTGTTGACAGAGTTATTTCCCGGTTCGTACCTGTAATGAAAGTGAAACGTGGATCGCGGTATCCACCTTGGTTCTCTCGAAGTTTAGTGAAAATTGTAAAAGAAAAATTGAAATTTCATAAACGTTGGAAATTGTATGGCAGATTGAGCGACTATAATACATTTGACCTTCTTCGTAGACGTCAAAAACTGGTGCAACTTGACTGTTATGATAAATATATTGACACTGCTGAGGATAACATCAAAAAAAATTGTAAGAAATTTTGGTCATTTGTAAAGTCTAAAAAGAATACGGGTGAAATACCTAAAACGGTATTCTTGAATGATGTGCAATGCACGGAGGGTAGTGATGTGTGCAACTTATTTAGTACATATTTTCAGTCTGTATTTGAGCCTAACCAAGGGCAGAATATTCCATTTCATACTTCAACAGGTAGTTGTAGTAGTATCTCAATGGGCTCTGTTGACATCCGTAAATCCTTAGTTGAAAGACTTTTAAAAACTCTTGATGTCACAAAGGGTTGTGGACCAGATGGTGTACCAGCAGTATTTCTAAAAAAATGCTGGAAATCTCTCTCTGGCCCCTTAACCTTTCTTTTTCGTCTATCTTTATGTAGTGGTTCTTTTCCTGTCGATTGGAAGCGGTCTTATATTGTACCAGTACATAAATCCGGTGATAGGCATAATGTTCAAAACTATAGAGGTATTTCCAAAATTAGTATAATCCCGAAGTTATTCGAAAAGTGTGTTTATGATATAATTTATCCCTTACTACGTCCTTTTATTATTGAACAGCAGCACGGCTTTGTAAGTAAAAAATCTACTGAAACTAATCTTTGTGAGTTTGTGCATAAAGTAGCTTCTTCAATGGATCAATCCTACCAGGTAGATGCTGTGTATACCGATTATTCCAAAGCCTTTGACAAAATTCCACATGATCTATTAATTATGAAACTTGGCGAAATCGGTATACATGGTGATCTGCTTCGGTGGCTGGAATCTTATCTTAGAGAGCGCAGTCAAGCCGTCGTTATTAAGGGCTTTTGCTCATCTTTCGTCCCTGTTACATCTGGTGTTCCACAGGGTTCGCACCTTGGTCCCTTATTTTTTAATTTATTTATCAATGACATCAACTCACTGTTCAATCATTCGTGTTTCATACTTTACGCGGATGACATGAAAATATATAAGACTATTAAAAGTTATTCTGACTGTTTATTACTACAACAAGATTTAAATAATTTGGTTACTTATTGCAATAATAATTGCTTATATCTGAACGTAAGTAAATGTTGTGTTATAAGTTTTACTAGAAAGAAAAAATCAAAAATATTATATAATTATCAACTAACTGATCAGTCCTTGAATCGTGTTACTTTAGTTAGGGACCTGGGAGTAATTCTGGACAGCAAATTATCGTTTAATAATCACATTGAAAATATAACTTCTAAAGCTTATCGAATGCTAGGTTTTGTTCTAAGGGTTAGCAAAGACTTTAAAAGATGTTCCACTTTAATTCTATTATTTAACTCCTTAGTTAGATCTATTTTGGAATACGCATCGATTATTTGGAATCCTCAATATAAATATTTTATTGACATGATAGAGAAAATACATAAAAAGTTTGTTAAACACATTTCATTTAGGTGTTCGCATTGTAAAGTAAACAATGAAACGATTCTCAAAGATAGTTTGAGTAATCGCCGCTGCGTGAGGGATCAGATCTTCCTGTTTAAAATCTTAAATGATATGGTTGATTCTCCTTTTCTTTTGAGTAACATTCGATTTAAGTGTTCCCGTATAAACTCAAGGTCTAACAGCCTGTTTAGTGTTCCTTTTCTTAAGACAAAATATACTTCTAATACATTTTTGTACCGAGCCTGTGATTCGTATAATAATAAATTTAATGTTATTGATATGTTTAAAAATGGAATTATTGAATACAAAAAACTTTTAAATGATGTAATTGAATGAATGAACTGTTATTATTAAAATTTATTTATTTGTCAATTTGATTTGTGTAAACTTCTCTGGTACTTTGTTTTTGTTTGTTTTTTATTTAATTTAATTTTATATGATTTTTTTATTAAATACACAGCTGCTCATAACTGTACTAATTGTTAGTGGAAACTTTGTTGATGTATGTTAATCTATATTTAATTTATCTAAATGTAATAAAATATTGTATGTTTTTTAAATAAAAAAAAAAAAAAAAAATTTTTGCTGTTTAAATCATATTACGCGATGATAGACTTATCCGACATCATAATGAGGTGAGGTTAATCATCATAATTAGGCTATATTTTTGGATTTTGCAGAGTGGTGTGTGCAATATTTTTTTTTTGTATCTAAATAAAACGAGCTAAAAATTAATTATTTTGTAATTTTACATCAAGATGTTGCTGGCGTTTTAAACATAATATATTTTTCCAATTGAAGAATTGGAAAGTTTGGAAAGATCCTTACGTAAGGAGGTATGTCTTAACGGTTTGTTAAACACTCTTTCGTTGTTTTCCCTGTCAGTGTCATCCTATTAATATTATAAATAATTATGAGGCTTTATATGTTTTTATGTAACTTATAGATGGACATTGGGCACCCATCCCATGAAAAGATTTTGTGGGTTGATCTCAGGTTTTCTAGGTCGCAGAAAGGGGCGGGAGGCGGGATTGCTTTACTTCAGAAACCGTAATCTGATCGAATGAGCTCACTAATTCACCAGTACTTGTTCTTTTGACAGAGCATCGAATGAAAACGGTTTGACATAAAATATAATAGAAAAATATAATATTACATAAAAGTAAAAAAGTAATAAAAATCGCATTGCGAACATTCCTCTTAAAAATCCCAGATTTCCGGCAACTGCAACAAAAACAATAAAAATAAGTAGTTTTTTACCCGTTTATGGTAGTAAATATATATATAAAAAAAATGTACTTACATAATCTTTTTTAAAACCCTAGTGAAATATTTAAGGAACTTTAATAACTGTTTCCATTGTTTTGCTATACTACATATTTAATTCATATATTAGCTTTATAGCCATGTAATAGATAGTGAAAGCCAAAGTGAAACCCATCATTAGACAATCTAAAAATTGTATAAAATTTCAATAATCACCAACATGTTGAAAAATGAACAGGATAAAAAACATAAACATATTAATATGTTTGTTTTTGTTTTTAATCTAATTTTATTTTATGAATTCAATTTACTAACACTAGATTTGTAAGCATAATTGTTACTAACCATTATGGATGAATAATCTGAAATAAATGTTATTATTATTATTATATTTACATGAATTCTCCATCATAATATTAAACATAACGCATGGAAGATTTTCTTAAAATGTACAGGGTAAATACCAAAACGATTATATCACAAGAATACTGGGAAAAAATCAATCATAAACATTCTAATATATATGTATGGCAAGGAAAATTGTATCGCCATGAATATCCCATGAGATCGATAGTTGCGTATTCTAATGCGATGTCAACAATAACCATGTGTTCTGTTAATTGTATCGGCGTGTGTACCTACAGGTTACAAGCAAATTCACTTGCGATATAAGCGAAGCTTGGCACGTATCGAATCACAGTCGATTGTAGATTCGCACACGACCGACGGTTCCGCAAAGTTAGGGAATAAAGAAAAATCGTTTGTTTATTTATTAATTTGTTAATCAAGATGAATAAAACAACGCTGTTACTGCTGGCTGCCTTCGCCTTCGTCCAAGGTAAGCGGCGGAATGTATTATTATTAAAAAATAAACACGATTTGTATTCGTTTAAATATTCATTTGATGTCTAATCTTATATCGGGACAGATTGAAGTGCGTGATTTTGAAAGGCTTTGCAGTGGCATATCTCACTGTAATTTTTTAAGAATTTCAAACAGATGATCATGCTTAGAAAATAATAAGGTTTGATATCATTCAAACTTGAATTATCTTTATCTAGATGAAAATACACTTTATCATTAGATATTATGCGGTGAATTCTTAATTTTACTGTGGCAAAAGGGGTACTATTCTGGGAAAGAATAATTGTTGAAAAAAATCTTAAAAAAACATTAAACAAAGTTTTATTTTATGTAACTGCACAAATTTTACCTTCATTTTATGTCAAAAATTTAAGGCGGTAAAAAATATGCATATATATGTACTTGGTTTAAAATTAAGAAAGGTCGGATACATAAATTGGGTTGACCCACTTGGTAGTATCCTCCATAATTATCAATAAAATTATTCTAAATAAATGTGTCCTATGTAGTTATGTGTGTTATATATATGGTATTAAACTCGGGAAGGTTTCATTTGTTTTAATTGTTTTGACCAATTTGGCGCTAGTTTGAAATTTAAAATAAGTACAAGTTACCAATATTATTTGGTGAGTGATGTTATTTGTAATAAGAGTAGACGAACAACCACTAAGGTCGATGTTGGGATACCGCCAGAGGTGGCAGAGGAACCAAAAAATAGAAAGAGGATAAGAAAAAAATTTCAGAGAAAAATAATAAATGAAGAGAAAAGGAAAGAACGGGCAGGATCAAGGACGAGACAGGAAGATGAAGTAGTGTTCTAGATGTGGTCAGTCTTGCTGGTGCTGTTTTTGGAAATCTGCTGAGTCTTATCATTGCAAAAAATATCAAACAACTCAACTGCACATATAATTTCCAAAATTTGAGTGAACTATCTGCTATTTCAAATAATACTTTATTTGATTGGTACAGATAATATTTATCCTAATAAATGTGAAAGTTTGTAAGTTTGTGTTTCTGTTTATTAATCAATCACACAATAACAACTGAATGGATTTGGATGAAATATAGCACACATAAACATAGTTAATTTTTTGGATTGAGACATAGAATACTTTTTATCTTGAAAACTATAGTTCCTGGGGGATTCTCAAAAATCAATCATAGGCGGCCGCTAGATAATTATTACAATTTGATGAATTAGTTGTTTTTTTATATATTATATACCAGGTGCCACTCTGCTTTACGTATATTTTAGTTTAAGTTTAATTTCATTGCCACTATGGCATCATACATCGGCTTGAAACACTACGTACTTCTTGATATTTGAAAATGTAAATAAATACGAGGACCTTAGTTAATTTTGCGAATACAAGTAAACATGAAAGACCTTTTGCTAGTGGCGAGGTCAGGGTTGATTTCTATTTGTGGAGTTACGCCACGAAATCATCATTTCATCCCATGCAGGTACCGCTATTCGACAAAAATTATCACAAGAATTCAGAATATTTCATAATCAAAAAGATTAATAAACTTAACTATTAAAGGTTGCCCATACATATCTTGCTAATTGTATACATGAGAAAGTTTGTATATTTGCGTTTCAGTATATTTGTTACTCCACCACGCAAAAGTAGCTAATGGATTTGGATGAATTTTACTGGAGAATTCTCAAAAAACTAAAGTTATCACGGACGAAGTCGCAGATGGCTGCTAGTCTTCTTCATATACAATATCAAAATCCTTTACCACACATATGAAGGAAAACCACACTTGTGGACGGCTTTAGGCTAATTGTTTTTTGTTTTATGCATAACTTTGAGGACGTGTTTTGTATACCTATATAAATAAAGCAAATTTTGGAAGAACCACGGGGTAGTCGGAACCAGGATGTTAGCTTTGTTTTTAAATTCTCATTTTCTATATTAGTATATTACACCCTTGCTCTAGAGCCGCTAGTTTAATTATACATATTGGTAAAACTATTTTTATATACTCATTTATTGAATATAGGCCAGCTCGAATAAAATAGAAGAAGTAATCCAATTTTGTTATCTATTGATTAGGTACTAATTATTTGGTCAAATTTAAGTCAATTTTTTATACAACTTTGACATCAACTTGTTTAATGACAAATATTTTTGTACAAATTAGATATAATTTACGTAAAGCTATTTTTTCTTTCTATTAAAACTATAAAAAACTGCATAACAATGAGGCTCTCAATTAATTAGTTAATTAATTAATTTTCTATTGAGTAAAAGGGTAATTAGTCAAATGTTTTTGTGCATACAATAGAAATCTTGCTTTGCTGAGAGGAAAGCTAACGCGGAATTCACGCACTTCCTTTAACTATGTTAATTTGAGCAACAGATGCCTATTTCAATTACTTCTGCCGTCACGGCTTCGTGACTTTTGGAATTGTCGCTCTTTTTGTTTACACACAAGTATCAAATTATGCAGTCATCGTTCTATTCCGACTTCATTGTTTGCTAGTACCGGCTCAAGAGATTAGTACAATTAGAATCAGAAGAAATATTGTCAAGTATAGATACAGTATAGCCGACGTAGCTTGGCCAGTCTGAAGGTTGGCTGCCCATTGGATTTTTTGGAAATAAAATTGTCTAAAGGCCTACGCACGCTTAGCAAACAGACGGCAAACAGCGGACAGAAGCAACAAACGCAAACGTGTAGATTGCTGTTAGACTGTCATAAACAGGAATATACTAGGTTGCTAGCCAAGCCATGTTTGGCACTTTGTTTGGCGTTTGTAACAAATACCAAGCATGTGGAGCCCGCTTAAAACTTCAGTTCAGACCAGCCAAGTTTCATCAGGTAGCGAGATTTTTAGCCTTAAAGATATCTACACTTGACTTTATCTACATTCGATTTTTAAAAACATTTAATAAAAGTATTCCTTCAATTCATAATATGAAGTTCTTAATAGTTGCATTTTTTTGCGCCGGCATCTGCAACACACACTTATTGTAAGTTTTTTCGAATCAAAGTGCATGCTCTTGATTACAAAAATTAATGTTATAGAGTTCACTGCCCACTAGGTATAAAGGAGACCCGGCACTTTTCATAGAATAAATGCTAAACTTGTATACAGTTGAATTTGGTCTCAAAATAAAGCCAAAATTATTTGCTACATAAAACTACTTTTGCCTTATTTTTAGTGAATCATGGAAAGAAGTTATATAATGATTAATATTTTTTGATATGGAAACCCTAAATCTTCAAGAGACAGAATTTTACTTCAAAATATTACTCAAGTGACTGTAAAAAACTATGATTCCTTTGCTTTTTCTAAATAAAAAACCTAATGTCAATTTGACAATCCTAAAATACAAACAAAAAAATCATTCGCATTTCGCATCCGCTCCCGCGTACCGTGATTGTGAATGTTCTCTGCTGTGATTGCCTTTTTATCCGTTATTTCTCTTGACGGCCCTGCTACATATAGAGGTTATATTGACAAACCTACGTATTTGACATTGACAGCTAGCTGCTGATGACAAATGTTGCCAGACTACGTTACCCAATTATGAAACACAGATAAAAAAATTGAAAAGTTATACAACTTTGGCACAAAATGCCGGGTGTCCTTTATCCTAAAATGTCAATTCGAGTCAATGTGACCGCAATGACTGACTTCGCTAATTTTTTTTTACATTTTTGATGTTTAAGAATTTCCTACATTTTTATAAAAGTCTACTTGCTCAAATTATTGAGAACTTATTATCAAACACTACTCTATAGGTATTTTTTAATTCACATTCACAAAAAATACAAAAAAAATGTCAATTGACTATTCTACTGTTCTATTTTTTAAATTTGACATCATTTTCTTTTTGAAGTGAAAACTTCTTTAGCGGCGTTGTACACTTTTTTTTGTAATGGGTAAAAACTGTTAAACTGGCGGCAGGACACGTGACCTATTCGAAAATCCGTAAGACGAAAACAATAAAATTGAAAAGGTTGTAGACTTTCAATATATTGGACGAAACATAGTAATATTTAATTTTATCGTATTATAATAATAAGCCTCTAATTAGGACGTCCAGGTGGCAGCTTTGTTGCGAAGAAAATGCATTTTTTTTACAATAGATGTCGCTAGGTGCGCTTAAATGTGATTCACGTAAGTTGATTTTTCTGAGAGATAAACTTTTTAATGTAATATAAATTGTCATGTTTGTGGACGATAGCGCAATAAATAAATATTGTATTCTACCACATAAGTGCTAGTACTTTTATACTGACAATAAAAGCAATTCGTGCAAAATTATTCTCTAAACATTCCAAAATATCAAGTTTTCACTTCTGCAGGCACTCCCGGAGTGCAACCCGTCGTATTTTTTTTATTGCCAGTGTCTATAAGACTCAATTTAGCCATCTTCCGAGTTCTTTTGCTAGGTTTCGTCAACAATTCACATTTCACATAAACCGTTTTTTATTACCTCGAAAATAATAATATTATTAATTATTATTCTCTATTATGCACAAAGGTCGTCAAGTCTCTGTCATCACAATAACTGGAAGCTAATTAATTAAAGCAAAGCGCAATAGTTCCTTCATCGCATTAATAATAAATAAATCAATAATCATCTCTAAACTGGTTCGCCGACATTTTAACCTGACACCACTGCATCTGACCTTTTTCGATTAATTATTTTTAGTATTATTTTCATGAATTCAATTGAATTGTTTAAAAATAGTAAAATTTCAGCAGCTCAGATATCTGTCAAAGAAAGTTAAAAAATTCATTGTAATCGAACAACAAAACCTTCCCACAACTGCCATGGAAGTCGTGATTTTATAATAGTATTAAATTTTAGTTTTGCTAATGCCAATTAATAAAAGTTGATTATTTTGCAATCCTGTGTAAAACTTATACATACAAATTATTTCGAAAGTGTTTATTCACGCCTTCCAAATTGATATCCAATTTAAATGATCTGTATAGGATGATTTCCT